TCTGCATTTTTTGTTTACCAACAAATGTAGTCATTGAAATTTAATCATTCCTTGTTCGTTGCTTCTTCTTTTCTCATATCTTACAAACCTATACATCATATATCAATCACTAAAACATTTCCTCATCCGCAATTTATACCCAAAATCATAATATCCCCAATTGTTTTAAGCAGTGTATAATATTTTTGTTATTATGTTTAATTAAATGCTTTGATTAATTTATATTTAAAATGTTTGAGTTTCTCTACTGTTAGAGAATTACTGTTAGAGAATTTCTAAAATAAAATATTCTTAATTATAATAGTATTACTATGTCATAAATTTTTAAGAATTTTTATACATTTCAAAGACGATTTAAATTTTGTTAAGGAAACAGTTTGTCATTAGTCACTGACTAGCCATTTTTATTCAGTATTCTTTAACTTTAAGAGTACTAAATAAAAAGGGCTTAATTGTTAGACATTATGTTTTATATTTTATATAAAACATAATGTCTGTAGAATGCTAATCATTGCTATGATCCTGTTCCTCTTTTGATAGGCAACTTCGATTTTCTTATAATAAGAACGTAAATATAAATAATAAAGAAAGTTCCCAAAATTATTATACGGTTTTAATTGACAGTAATTTAAAACGAAAATTTATAAAATAATTCTTTCAAAGTGTTGGTGCTTTTAACTTAATCTTAAATTAATTTATTATTAATTTTATTCATTAATGATTTTAATAATGTTTAAAAATATAATTTAAATAAACGTTTCAATGTTATCATTGCTTAGTGTTATGGCTCTTTAAAATAATGTTAATTTTTCATATTAAAAATGCCAAATGCCATTTAAATAAATGTAATTTTAAAAGCAAATACGTATTAAATCGAATGCTTTTCACAACAAATAACTATAATGTATCATTATGATAAAAATAATGCCAAATAATAGATAATAAATAAGTTTTTAATAGACAATAAAACTTAAATATATTAAACATATTTATTGTATAATATATCCGAACCATATATTTATGACGGTTGACTTAATGATTTGCAAATACTCTATTTATTGCAGTAATACTAACCATTATTACTAAAGATGACTGCATTGTGTACAAAATTTATCGCTAATATGTTAAATATATCTTCTCGGAACTGTTTATACTGTTAAAGGAATTTGATAGTGTATGGTTTCCCGGAAAATGAGTCTTTCATCGGGGGAATTAAAGGATTTAACCTCTCGATTTTGATGAAGATTAATTCTTGCGCAACAAAGGAATGCTAATTCTTTTAGTTAATGACTCGCAAATAGTAAACTTTATTTGTTCTGGAGTTACATGTAGATTATAAATAGACTGGAATCTTAATATTTAAAAGATGTTTAATTAAAAAAATCTCTATAGAGATTTTTAATTAGACATCTTTTAAATATTATAATTTTAATTTCGTGTTCGTTCGTGTAATTATAATTTTTTTTTCGTGTTCAAATTTTAATTTTAATCTCGCAAATATATTAAATTTAATTTCGGAGAGCTTTTATAATTTTTTTTTCTCGAAATTTTATATTCTTTTAAAAGCTTTTAATGTTAAATAACCTATGATCAATATTCTTCCTAGAAAAAGGAGGATAAATTTTAAATTTGGGGGAATACGAAATTAAATTTGAAAGAATATATATATATCACGTATTTCTCCACAATTCCTTCCTATATATATATATATATATATATATATATATATATATATATATATATACGGACCAACGCCGTCTGCCTACTGGCAGATTTAGAGACAGGAGATGTTTTTTACGGGGTAGGGTTATCAACCCTACGCCAAATGCTCTGCAGTCGTATTAAACTGTAACCTATGGTTTGAAAGGGTTTCCGAACCACTACAAATATCCATGGCACCGCCAGGATTCGAACGCTAAACTTGTGGCACCGAGCGCCAGTTATTCGGCCATTAGCCCCTGTTTATGTTTATATAATGTATGCGTTGTATATTGTGGGGGTCTGATGTGCAAGTGACTTGTGAACGTTTTTAGTGGTTCGGAATCCACTTTAAACCTTAAGTTCCTGTCTAATATGACTGTAGAGCATTGAGCGTTGGGTTGACTGCACCTCTGTAAAAAGAATACATTTCCTATCTCCTGTCTGTAGACCAACTGGCCGTTTCTCCTAACGATACAGGGATGCTCTTGACAGTGGGTAGGCTTGGCAGAAGTATGGTTACAGTATTATATATCTTAATTTAAACTTCTTTTCCTTTTTTATTTTTATCCTTTTTATGAATTATATCATTAAATTGAGGGCTGATGGGTGAGTAAGTAGCACTCGGTGCCACCACAGGTTTCGGGTTCGTCCAGGTCCAGGCTGTGCCATGGATGTTTGTTCCGTAGGTCTCAGTCTAATGTGGCTGAAGAGCGTTGGGCGTAGGGCTGATAACCCTATTCCGTAAAAAGAAAACATCGTCTATCTCAAAATGTTCCAGAAGACAGAAGGCTTGGCCCACCATGGGGCTGTTGAGCGAATGATGATGATGATGTTATATATTGTTAAACATACTGTCTTTGTATTACAAATATATATTCTTTTATTTGTATTTTAATAGAAAATTCTATTAAAATTTGACAATTTTTACTCTAGAAGATATTTATATATTCTTCATTAAAATGACTTTATTAAACACTGGATTGATGATTAGTGGTACTTTGTTACAGATAATCGTTGAATATATTTCAGTAGAGATAGCTTTTGTATTGTACCTATAGAATATATAATTTAATAATTTTATAATTATTGATTTAGGGTATATTATTAGTTTATTTTTTCCATTATTTTTATTTTATTTTTTCAATTGAAGAAAAAGGCCAAATATTTTTGTTATTAATCGTTGAATATATTTCAGTAGAGATTCAGTAGAGATAGCTTTGTAAACTATAGAATTTATATACAATTTAATATTTTATAATTGAAGAAAAATTATTATTTTTATTTTTATTTTTTTTTCCAAATATTTAATGTTTCAATTTTTTATTTAATATTTCAATTTTTCAATAAATTTTTCTTTTTAGGAAAAATAATTATAAATACAAGATATCTGAATGGATTCTTCTTTTATTGGTTAATTACAATTTTTTTTATAAAGTGCAATTAAAGGTTTTGTTAAAATATAATCCATAAATATATGATCTCATATTATGTAAATGATGTCAGATCCCCTTACTGAATTTAATTATCATGAATATGTGAAACAGAATATTTCTTTTCTCTCAAAATGTGTATGTTATGCACAAATAGTACGTGTTGTGTTTCACACCAAAAAAAAGTTTATTTAAATTCAAATTCAAACCGTAGTTAAGATTGTATGTACTTAGAATATGGTTTCACTAAAGAACACATTCGGAAGAAGTGTAGTAGATAACAATAATAATGAGCAATATCAAATTCTGCAGACATAAAAGCAGTCAAAAAAGCATGCACAGTTTATAATTTTTATTATCAAGGGGATTTAAAGGGGATTTTTTTAGAGAATTTGTATAACATATAAAGAAAGCATAGAAATGTGAAATGAAATTTGTCTAGTTGCAACTCTAGGGATGTGTAAAGAAACTCTATGTATGTACTTGTGAGTATGTGTGTTCCCACATAATATAAGTTAATATAACTCGTATATTTTCTTCACTAAATTCGCTATTCTTCTATCTGATGCGTAGTTGAAAACCTCGAAAATTTTTCCACTTTTTACTTTTTAGAGAAACAAAAACCATATTTTATGCCTGGCGTTATTTGGTGGCTTGATCGCTTTGTCTATCAGTTTTTATTTGTCTTTAGAAATTTTCTTAAAATAATAAAATAGTAAATTTGTAAAGTTTATGTGATCTCTGTAATATATCTTTTGTTTGTCACAAATATTATATTATATAGGCTTATTTATAGTTAGCTTCCTAAGTTATTTTTATTCATAAATAGTTATTCAGTATAATTTTTGTTATAAGAATAATTTTAATACAATTTGCCAAACGATCATTTGCGCTTTCCACATATATTTTTTCCTAACATAAAAATCTAAACATATTTAATATATATTCGAAAACCTTTTATGTTACATAGCTGGGAAATACCAAGCCATATTTGCGTATTTTAATACGATACGAAGGATTTTTTTGTTTTAATGCAGCTGGCAAACACTTAAAGCAAGTGCTTACCTTAAACCTTAAAGCAAGCGCTACACCGACGTTACTCACTTAGCACTGACCAGGAGATGCCTGTATCTTGAAAATAAGCTACGGGACTCGGAGCAACAATACCCTCGCAACGATCCTGTTAGATCGGGACCTACGGTTTAAAGTGGATTCCGAACCACTACAAACATCCAGGGCACCGCCGGGACTCGAACCCGAAACTTGTGGTACCGACGATACGAAAGATAATGGTGAGAATGAATTGATGATGATTGAACCGATTTCATGTCTGAAGGTTAAAATGATGGCATGGATTGTATTCGTATCTTAATGTTTCAAAATATGAATTATAGTTTTAAAAACTAAAAACACGCTTTTAGAGTTAATCAAGCTGAAAAGTAAAAATAATTGTTAACATAAGAATAAAATTACTGACGAGAAAATGAATGTCACTGTTCTAAAAGCGTGGGGTGCTTTGTATGACATTTTTAAACTAACTCTGCATTTCGAAATGAAACTAGTGAAAAATCATAACGATTGATATCGAGGACTCCACGCTTTTAGAACAGCGACATTAATTTTCTCGTCAGTAATTTTATTCTTATGTTAACAATTATTTTTTACTGTTTAGTTTGATTAACCTATAAAAGCCTGTTTTTTTTTTTTTAAACTATACTTTATTTTTTACTTTTTAGTTTGATTAACTCTAAAAACGTGTTTTTTAGTGTTTTTAAACTATAATATTTAAATGAGGTCCCGGTACGGGAGGACTGGAGCTATAGTTCTTACAATAATTTAATTGTCAGTAAAACAAAGGCTAAATGCGAATATGTCAGCCAATTCGAACAGGGAATCTCCTGATCCATAGTCAGGCGCGTTATCCGTTGTGCCACTGCCCCACGTAGGCTTGAATGTCTTAGGTACTTTTCATTCTACACGGGTTAAATTGCTCTTCATAAGTTAAAATAAAATCACTCATCCTGGCGATCCTAATCATGATGAGATAATAAACTATCAAAATATTTTAGTGTCGTCGGCCTTTGATGAGTCTACAACGTTTAAATTAAATCTGATCGCTTAAAGTAGGACAAAAAATCGAGGCCAAAGAGTTACAAACAAACAAACAAACAAACATACGTTAAACAGGTGAAACTAATAAAAGCGTATTAAAAAAAAAAATAAACTACAAAAATAAAATGTTAAATACTTTTTTAAACAGCCTTTTGTTTTTCAATTAATTCATAGTTCTTGTTCTGTTTGCAGCGATTGCGACGCAATCTGCCGCCCAGCATTCTCCGCCGCATGTCCACCAGCACCTGGACCACGACCACTTCCGCCACGGGACTCCCGACTCTGGAGCCGGAACCTTCCAGGAAGCGCAGCACCAGTTTCCGGCACCCCACGGACTCTCAGAACACTTCTCCCAAGGGGCGGCAACAGTCCACAAACAGGATGCGCTACTTCTCCTAGGTATTTATTACAATTCGATTAGTTCTAAAATAGCATCCAGATTCGAAACATTCGCCCTAACGTTGGACTACATCGGGCATTCCAACCTTCGGGGACATATCTTCTTTAAATCTGTACGGGTGTCACGACCATGGGGCACCTCCTTATTTTTACCATTATTTTTTACTTCTCTTTAACACCCTTTTCATGATTGAGAATATAGATCCCATTATTTTCGTGCAAGATTGTTAAGACTCATTAACTTCATGGGTTTTTTTTTTAACATTTTCTTCTCTCTCTCTCTCTGTAGCAAACTCGTCCTTTACATTGTAATTTATTTCTTGTCATTAGCTTTGTTTTTCGGATACAGTTTCATTTGACTGACATTATAAATATTTTTTCAATTTTTTAAAAATATTTTTGAATTTACTGACTTGACATCTATCTTGAGAATTCCGACGCGCGTGTTTGCCTGGAAAACTGTGTCGCAGGAAAAGGGGAATCTGGACAATGAGTCCACTCGAAATTTCGTCTCTTCTCTGGATAACCCATCACTTTCGCTTCCGCTTCTGGTAGACGGAGGTACATCTAGGTTACAAGTATACCAATCTGCTTGCGGTTACCATGTTGTCGGATCTGGAGTTACTTAAGGATCAAGCGAGGAGGCTCTTCTTTTACTAACATCATTGACAAAGTATGTTTTACCTCGTTGGGTTCCATAGTAGGCGATGATGTATCGGATCCACCACTTTTTCTTTTCCAAAATCTTGTACATCTGTGAAGCCTTTGATTTTCCAAAGTTCAACAACTTGTTTGTTCCAATAATATTCAACAATGAAAAAAATGAATTATTTGCGATATCCTCTCCATTTAAAATTCAAACCATTCATAAAATTCATTCAGTTTCACCATTTAAATTTCAATAGGCTTTACATGCCATTGGTTGCAAGTCAAAAAATGTAAACAAGATGAATTTCAGTGACCTATTGATTTAAATTTGCAGACTTTCTCAATTATAGGCTTTTTATTGGAACGACATTATTGGGTTATATTTTAGGTATTCAAATACGTATGTCCTTGGAATTCTATGTCTTTGTTCTAAAAACAAGCTAGATGGTACCTCAAATACCGCGTACAACAATTTATACCTATCCACTTAGTTGCTTCAATTGCCAAATATATGGACATTCACGGAAAGCTAGCAAAAGTAAACAAACATGTTTTTATTATGCAGTACCTGGTCACTCTTATTCCGAATGTCATTTAGATCCAAAATGGGCAAATTGCTATCAAAACAATGTTTTCAATTGAAAATTCAGCACACGCGACATTTTGAAAATAAAGTTTAGAACATGGAAGCTACTCGAATGATATGTTACGCTGAAGCAAAAGAAAATAAGAAAAATCTTCTTTTTCCTATGCAGAAAATACTAAGAAAAAATACCCGAGTCCCACGCAGTAGTTGCACCAAAATGGTTCTGCTTGCATGAGGATTAACAACAATATTACTGATATATATCATGTCCACCGCTCCAGAAACTTAAACCGCTTTCTCTTAGAAAGACATAAACGTAGGGATTGCGCTACTTCTAATTAACCTTGAATCTGCATTATCCAAAAGCTACTTTCATTTCTTTTCTTGTCTTAATTATTCAGAATCCACGAAATAAACCTCGCCTGCAAACCTACGAACCAAATTCAAAGCAAATTACGTAGGCAGCCTGTAGTAAACATATGAATAAATATACCGCTATGCTTGTACCTTCTAAAAAAAAAAAGCAATTCCAGAGAAATACACTTAAGCCAGCACTAAATACTAATTTAAGTCCTAATAAAAACCTGTTTGTGAATATTGAAATGCTGCATTTTAGATGAAGTTCTAAACGCGAAAAAGAATAGAGTAGTTATTTTAATGATGATTGTATAGTGGAGTATAACGAGAGAAATCTGGTTTTAGACTAATTTTGTTTATCTATTTTTTAAGTATACTTTTGTTTTGTTTCTTTTTACATTGCGACCTAAGTTAGACAATAACAAAGTTTTTAAATATCTTTTATCGACATAATTACTGAAGTTTTTTTCATGAAGCTACATTCCAGCAAATGAAACAGCTGACATCCTTGCAAAAAAATGGTGCCAGCAAATCTGTGATGTAATACAAAACAAATTGCACATACACTTCCGAAATAACCGTGCTGAAGTTGTGATGGGTAAGGTGTGGTGTTCATTATTGCACTCCCCCTCTCCATGGACTTGGGGCCTGATGGCCGAGTGGTTAGCGCCCTGGCGCTCGGTACCACAGGCTTCGGGTTCGAGTCCCGGCGGTGCCATGAATGCTTGTAGTGGTTCGGAATCCACTTTAAACTGTAGGTTCAGGTCTGTTTAGCCCTCGTGTGCATAAGATGACCGTAGAGCGGCAAACCAAACTACATCTCTATGGATCTTTCTCGCTCGGGTTTTATTGCAAATTTCAGACTTTTGATTGGGCATACATTTGATTTTACATAGACAGACAAAACGTCATGTCTATGTAACAAGTCATGTCCTTGTATAATGTGGCAATATTCCTGACTATGTCCTGTCTTCTTCAGATGCTTGTATGGATTTTACTTATCTGACAAGCTTCCCTGCGTTTTCTTTTATGATCTGTTCTCCAGACAACTTTTATAATAAGCCTGTTTTTTATTGGGCTGCTAGAGCGCTCATGGCCGTTATGGCCTCCATCCTGTCGTAGGAAAAAAAAATAGAAGCAAATTTTCAATTGATTTCATAAAACTATGATCTAAAATGGGCTTGCAATTAGGATTCTGGAACTAATTAAATATTGTTTGAAAAAAATCATTATAAAGTGTAGGTCTTGTTGGAGTACCCTATGTCATAAAAAGGAAACTTCCCATTTTCCTGAATTCTAATGATATATAAATGTAAGTTGAACGACCACCCAGATTTCGTGTAATTTCAATGGAAGTAGTTTACGATCCAAATTCTTTTGTACTTGGCTTGTCCGTTAAATCTATCGATGTTCATCAAGCTCTTTAATTTAAGAAAAGTAGCCGCCGAATATTTAAATTTACATTATACTTGCTCAATTTCATATAATCATTATTAATGTAGATTTAATATAATTAGCAAAAAAAGTATACATGCTATTTTTCCATAATATATGTATTTCAGTTTTTTTTTTCATATAATACGAATTCAATACTAATGTAAAATAATATAGTATATATTTTATTCACACTGTAAATATGATGTGCAACAATTTCATATCAAGTGCACGGTTCATGATCATGCAGTTTTTCTACATTCCCTAATTATTTTAAAATGTAATATTTATTATTCACGTAACATTTAAGTAAATGCAAATTTTGAAAATTCTTATAATTCTCATATTCAAAATCCTTACTTGAGCATTTTCACAAAAAAAAAATGTATTAATAAATGATGATATAACATTTTGTCAAAGAGTTTTTATATAAAATATACAAAAGCTCAAAATTAATACCTTTTTTTTTATTAAACAGTTAAAAAATAAACAATTGAACATCATATTTAATCACTTTCAGGTATAATCATAACAATATAAAATCATTATTATAATTGCACTTTGCTAAAATAATTATGCCAGGAAAATTATATATATAATGATATGTATGAATTATCACATACATTAAAAGCAACAGCTTAATAAATTAGTTTTTAAGAATCAGAAAAAATCGGAAAATAGCTTTTAAAGATAGCGCTCAAAAATAATTTGCAGAAAAATTGCAGCCAAAAATAAATAAAATACATATAAATTAAGCAGTGTACACAAAAAGTAGTGCTGCAGCAGATCATGTATTCCAAATTAATGGAGTTACTATATTTAACATCATCGAACGAGTAGGTGGAAACAACCTTTAGACGTTTGTAATTCCGGCAAATAAAAATTGCGCAATGAAATTGAGTACTATAATTAAGCTATAGTTCAATAATATAATTGAGCTATATTTGTATAGTTATAATTGGGTACTCAACAACATTTATCTGAAGAGTTAACTCCCCTTTAAACTTTATTGAGTACACCTCCAATCTTTTCTTGGCGCAGACAGGACAACTGTGTTAGAAGGATTCAGGCACAATGTTCTCATGTTAAGTTATGTTGCTCAGAATTTAATTACTTATATAGATTCGCTATTTGTTTAAAAATCCCAATACTGAGTGTAGAATGAGAAAGAAATATAATCACTGATCTAACTACATTTTATATTAATATAAAAACTTTTGTTTCTATGAAAATAATTTGTTTATTTTTTTATATATTTGACTTGTTTAAATCAGTTTCTAACTTTTTGAAGACAAGGAGGTTTTAAAACCAACACATAAATATAGGTGCAATATACACTGAAGTGACAAAAAGTCATGGATAGCAATATGCAAATTTTCAGATGGAAAGTAGCATCGCGTAGAAATAG